TGATGAGATTATAGAGGTTGGTAGGTAAGTAGATACGAGTTCGCTATGATTGAGGTGTTCCATTTGATGCATAGGCAGATTTCTGTTAGTGTACATTTCCTTTTTTGTTGTGTGGTCTATACATTTTTAGATTTGGTTCGGCGAGCTTTTTTTTGTTTTTTTTTAGGAACATGCCCCGCGGGGGTCGTACGTCACGTTGGCCCGCGGGGTGACTAAGCTGCCGGGGGCCATGTTCTAAAAAGTAGTTCGCCAACCAAATCTAAAATGTATAGAATACACAAAAGCAAAAAAGGAAATGTAATTAAAAGAAGTGTGGTTGCCCTACTGCATAAATGAACCTCATCATAGGAACTCTATCTACGTTACTTACAACGTCTATATCTATCTAAGCACCCTCCTCCCCACCGCGCCGACACATGGGGGAAGTAGTCGACCAATCACGAGTCTTCTTGATTTGCTGGGCGGTAGAATAAAAACAGTCGGGGAAGAAACGAATAGTGGCACCTCCCACGCTGATTTTCCTTCTGGCAGCAATCTACACACACACATCAGCCCCCATTGAACAGCCTAATCATGCCAGCCTATACAACACATGAGGGGCAGAGTTTCACTCTGTGTCTGTTGCAACTTGACGCACACACACGCATTGCGTAATTTCCACTGGGGACAGTCCCCCGACATGTCCCTTGCTCTTTTCGAAATCCCGTCTGTGTCCTCCCACTTTACAAATATGTTTATTATAATTTTTTATCATCGCCACGGAGGAGCACACAGCCTCTGTGAGCGAGCGAGAGGGACTTTCTCTCTAATATAGATTTAAGTAAGAAATCATTCCAATGTGTACTATAGGACAGTAAGAAAAACAAAAAACAGTGTAAAAGGGGAGTGATTAGTAAAATATGCATAAATAAAAAGAAAGAACGCTACTAGGTAACATAAGTTAAGAATACACAAGAAAATAAATATATACACTGCAAAAAACAAAAAAAAGAGGAGTAAAAGTAGTCCCTGACTTTTTGAAATTAGCCCTCACCCTAAAAAAGGTTGGTGACCCCTGCTCTAAACAAACGGCCCAGCGGACTTAGCCGGGGCAGGGGGCATGTAGCTGTGCGTCACTGTGTGTGGGAGGGCTGCATCGTTAAACACAGTGTGTTTATGGTCAATATACAGGGTGTCCGTGGGGTCTTAAAAAGTATTAAAAGTGGATAAATCAATTTAGTGAAAATTAACGCTATTAAAAAGCATTAAACGGCATTTTCCAAGGTATTAAGAAGGTCCACAGCAACCTCAACATGAAACACCCTTTCATTTACTGCAACGACATGTCGGGAAACCCCCTCAAGGCGGCCCCATGCATAGCGTTTTGAGTTGTGAAAAGCGCTATATACCGGTAAATAAAATGCATTATTATTATTGTTATAGCGCGCCGGAAAATTCTGCTTCTTATTTTAAGTTTTGTTGCCTTGCACCGCCTAGGGGGGGGGGAGAACAAGTGTTTTGGGGCGCCACTGATGGTGATGAAAGCTGGTTCGAGGGGCCCACAGACTCTAGAATCGCCACTGTCGATGGGGATCAAAGCTGTCCGGTCCCACATGCTAAGTGCTAGCCAGAAAGCCGCGGCGTTTAAGTCCCGACTCTCCCGATAGCCAATCCGTGCCTCCCCTGACTGCAAGTCGCTGACACACACCGCTGCAGACTCTCTGCACAGAGGAGCAGCGGAGTCTGGCCGATGCTGCTCCTCCAGGGAAGAGACACAGTTCACTAAGCCAAACTATATCCAGTCACAGAGATCTGCTATTTTAAAGTAAAGTACATATGAATAAATAAATATAGTCTATAATCTATATTAAGAACGAGGAAAGTGTTAACATATATCGTTTTTTGTTTTATCTCTTGGGAACAATGCCTAAATCAAATACTACTTTCTAATGCTTTCTTTTTCTAATAAACCTTGCATTGGGTTAGTCACACAATTCATTCTCTTGTGCTTTGTTCTATCACAAGCTGTTTAGTTGTGCTATCTACTTACAATCCATACTGAATATAGTAAATGTGAGGTAAAGTGTGTCGCCAATGTAACCGGTAACTCGAAGTGGCGATGAGGTCTTAAGTTAAAATGTATGCAAAGGGTCTTAAAAGGGATTACATTTGACTTCAGGATTCCTGCATATACCCTGATTATAGAGTATTGTGGGAATGTGTTGAACGAGTTCAGATTAAATGTGTATGATGCCCATATTTATTGCATATAATGTGTTATAAAAAAGTGCTGAATTGTAAAGCCCTACAAAAACATATGCTGATATAAAGCAAGTGCGTAGGTTACATGTAAATGTTCAAATATATACCCGTCTCATTGTTATGATGAGTTCAGTCTGTCAGTGCCGGGCTGCTCGGAGTAGAACATGGGGAAAATGCTGTAAAAGAGCTCTTTGTCACAGATCGGATTACTTACCCTCATTTCACCACAAATTCAAAGAAAACAATCATGGTTTTGTTTCCTCGAGTCACGCAAGACCACTGAGACCTAAGAACGCTGGTGAGAACCAAAACTGGAGGGAGAGCAAAACTGGAACTTCAGGTTCCACTAAGCTACATACCCCCTGCTACAGATACTGGCAACACAGCACAGTTATACTTCTATTTCAGCTCTACTTCCAGCCATCGTTTCCCGCTGCTTGGTTTTTATATACGAGGATTGCCTCCTATGTTTACTCATCAAGCCCTACTTTGATGGAAAGGCCCTTATGTTAATTGCAAGTCTAACATAAGAAAGAAGGCATGGACATGAGTCCAAGCCTTGCTTGAGACAGCTACTGTAGGTTTGAGATATGGATCTGTGTGTCTTAGTCGGTTGTTTAACTGTACTGTCCCTTTAACTCAATATACCTTTGCATTATTGAGAAGCAGCCGTTCTCCTGCTGTGTCAGCTGTAGTGGAATGTGAGTGGAAAGACCTCACTAGAGAACACTTTCACCACCACTACACTGATATATATTTGTCAATTATACTTAACAATTAAACAGATGTTATTTTAAATAAAAATAGTTTTTTTTCTAACAACAGATAATGGTTTACACAACTGCAATTGGGAAAATAGGAGTTGAAGATGTCATATTTTCCTATGCGTTAAATAACCTGACAACTAGGATCTGTCATCCCTCGGTAGGATATAGGGCTGCGACTGTTAGTCAACATCTCCTGTATGTCTCCTGTGTACAAATCAGCTACGTGCCTATTCATTGTGCACTTTAATGTTTCGCCATGCACTAAGTATATGTTTGACAATTTAATAAATCTCAGAGCCGTCTCAGATTACTCCAAATGGAAACCTCATAAAGATAAGAGTTTTTTTTGCGAACCTGAAGCTGCATTCCACAGCAGTGTGGTGTCTTGAGTGGTTTTAAAATACGCTATGCCTGAAGATTGTTTAAATTGACATTTTGATCATCTAATAATCCAGACAAGTATTATAGTGTGAATCCTACTTGGATGCACCGAGCAATAGAAGTTTCCTCTGCAGTGATGTGTGATGTAGCAGTGAATAATAAAGAGGATCTCCATGATAAAGGACATGAGAAGAGCATTATAGGAAGGGTGAGAGAGCTTATAACTTGCTGGCAATCCACCCTGCTTTGAGGAAGTCACTTGTTCTTTCCTCTTCCTTTACAGACAGACGCAATTCAAGTGTATCCCACAGGCTCTGCAGACTCTCATGCTTTCGTTATTCGCCTCTACATTGTTTTTGTTGCCATAATCTCTAATACAACATTTCAGCTGTGGCCCAGCAATCCTGTAACAGTCCTCTGCAATCTCGATCAGAAGCTCCTTTCATAAGAAGAGAGCTAGCCCGTACTAATCACATTCTGCCATATCAACCAGACGAGTACTATTTGCTATAAACAACACATGCTGCTTGCTACTGTCAAACACTGCGCTTTCATTTCCGCTTAACCCATTAAACACACACAAACCAATGTTGGGACACAGACCTCCACACAGACACAACAACATTACAGCAAAACCTACTGGACCTATTTTTAAAACATACGCCATTATGCACCTTTTGGCCCGTTCTCTTTTATTACAGGTTATCACCAGGCTCCATTGGCTGGTTAAGGGCAACGCAATGAGGGAGACTAGAAAAATATTATAATTGGTGTTTTTTTAAACTCACACTCATTATAAACTTGTAATTTGTTCCCAACACAGTCTACTGGATAGACTAGAAGTAGGCCACTGAGTGCTAGTTGGCCGCTGTGGAAGGACTCAGTGACCTTTTGGGAAACACACACACACACACACACACACACACACACACACACACACACACACACACACACACACACACACACAGACATCTCGATGTCCGCCTCTCTTTCAGAGTTTACATTCAATAACCAATCTCTCACTTTGACCACAGACTGTCCTTTGTAAAGCCCTTTGTACAGCTCTTCTGTACAGTTGAGCGAGCTCAGCTGTGTGTTTCGTGTAATACTTTGGGGGTCGGAGAGCTGATCTTACCCTTGACCGTAGTCTCTATAGCAACAGCACTGACCCAAGAGGCACTTGAGTTACAGGGAGAGAGAGGTTGTGACAGGGAAATGGTTTCCTGGCTCTGACTGGGAGAATAAAATGTGAATCTGAGGCTGGTCCTGCCCTCTGGACTGTTTCATTCACTCTAACACAGAGGAAGCAGTAGGATCATTGCCAGGCCGCTAAGTCACATGTGCACCATTCACACATGCCCACACATTTTGACATTTCTGGATAAATACAGCTAGTGTCTTAACATTTTCATGGCTATCAGGCAGATCTGTTATTAGCACACTGGTTAAAGAAAATGTGATGCTGAAAAAGAAAATCTGAAACGAGAGCTTAACATGTCTGGAAATCTTTTGCTTTTCTTGAACTTTTCAGTTCAAAAGTCAAACGGTCTTGATGGACTAAAGCTGGATGAATGTAGGCAGTCTTCATTCCAATAACATGTAGGTCAGTGGATAAGCTTATCTGTGCTGAAGGCAGTGCGGGTCTCATTAGTGTGCTGCCTTCCAGATTACTCCCGGGGGGCTTCAGAAAGCCAGCCGCACAGTGCCACAGTTATCCAGCCCATTTCACTTTGTTTATTCTGAGAGAAAGTTCCCTTACAAGGAAAATAAGGTAAACACATTTGCATGACACAAATAAAGCGTACAGAAACCTTTACCAATACTAGTTTAGGAAATAAATGTTTGAAGCAGTTGATAAACTCTTGCATGACATTGTGTTGTGTATTATGCAAATGAAGAAGACAGTGTGATGCATGGTTTAAAAAACGAGTCATGTTTCCTGATGTTTTTTTTTATTTGTATGACTTATGACAAATCCTTGACCTAATTGAATCAGCTGTAGTTCCTCCTGTAATATTTGCTTATTTTGGATGACTGTAGATCCAAATGAGCAATAAACCTGTTTTACAGGATTATTATTCCAAGTTTCCTGTTGTTATCATACTTGCCATGTTGATCAGTGTGGCTCTCTACCCCAAACCCATTTGTTTATAGTAAAAACATTAACTTTGACAAACATGATTTAATGTATCTTCTTCTCAAAGCCAACCTTTGGATTTTGTGGTCATTTATTATCATAAGAAGTTATTTAGAATGCATACTTAAAGTGGGAGATTAAATGATTGTACCAGCTTTAAACTGTTCACCAGATCCAGACTCATCCTTCTTGATTTGCCGACTTTTTGTTAATCTTTCAAACCATATAAATCTTTCCCCCAAATGTTCTCCTGACACTTTATCTGCGCTTTCTTCTTGATAGCTTTTTCTTGCATACCTCATAATAACCTGCACCTACCCCCTTCCTCTGTTAACCCACCTCTCCCTCCCAATCCTCCCTGTCCACTCTGAATAGCATGCGTCATCCATATGTTCAGTGTTTGTTACTCAGGTTGAATGGAGCCAAGCCCTCTGTCATCCCCTCCGGTGATAGACCAGATTACTCCGAGTATTTATACATGATCTGCCTGCTGTTATAGCAAAAAGTGTGTGGGAGGCTGACAACCTCCTAGCTTGTGCATACCTCATGTGAGTGTGGGTGTATTCACACATGCACCCATTTTTTATGAGTTGGAAGTCCACTTTGGAATGTTTCTTTTTGAAACCCTGGTCCATTATTGTGAAATTGAGTGTACATTTTTTGAACTTTTTATTTCATTTTTTAGTAACACGACTAATGACATGATGATAAATAATATTTTGAGTTGCTCCAAAAATCACACCTACACTGAACTGTGTAAACAAAAAAAGATGTACCACAAAAATGTGTACATCTGATGACAAAAACAAAGGTTCGTATTCTGTTAACCAACATTCACAGAAAATAAGTACTTGCATAGTTCCTTGTAGCAACCTCTAACATAAACATGTGGTCACACCCAACCACCCACACACACACTGCACTGACAGTGTAGGTCAAGGCTATCATAATTGTGCAGCTCAGTCAGACAGTCAGGATACTCTGGGACTGGAGGAATCAGAGATTATGTGCTGCAGCCGCACTCAGATTAAGACGGTGGGAGGCAGAGTCACATTCTCCACATGCTCCAAGGAAAAAAGCCTCTGTTGACAAGAACACATTCCATAGTGAACTGTACTAGTAAAAACGTCAGTGTTTATCTCAGCTATAAAACTTATACATACATCCATATAACAAGTTCAAGAACAGCTTTACAGCTGCCCAACCATCCCCTAAACATCCCCCAACAGATTGTAAGCTAAAAATATTTTCTGGCTTTGACAAATATTTATTTATTTGTTTTAGATAAAACCACTAAAGTACAACGTTTTTTCATCAGCTTCAACCCAAATGAGGAAATGGCATACTCACAAATATGAACCACTTCTCATACTTTATAACTATGGACATTTGAAGTGTTTTCCCACTTGAAAAACCGAAATGCGAAACTGAAAATGTGCAACATATGTCAGGCTTCTTATCTTTTCAGCTATAACTTCAAAAGGAGGTGCTTTTCATATGACGGTTATTTTTATATTTGCAATCAATTGTGGTGAGTTTTTTTGTCAGTGGTCAGACATTAACCGCAAGAACAATTTGAGAACATATTTAACAGTGAACACAATTCCTCCCACGGCGGTTTTGAAAAGTCCTTCTGCAGAAGTGGCTCTGCCCTGAAAAGCTATTATACATGCACTGAAACTGATGGAAAGACATGGCTCACACGTGCTCTCCTTTTAGACCTGATTCTGAATTGGATATCCATTCATAGGAGCAGTTCCCTGAAATGAGACAGTAGAACCTGTTATTTAAAACAGCAATGTTGTATTAAAGGTTAACTCCACTCCGTATTTGTCAAACTAGGAGTTATTCAAACATTTTTGTCCATTATGACAGTTTCCTCACATCCATTGAGTAGGAAGACCCAGCTTTCAGCAAAACAGAGTTCATCAGGGCAAGAAGCACAGGCCTCCTACAGCTTTTCAGGAAACTGGATTTTATTAGAAACCAACCACATAAACACTGACAATAAACACAGAAAGTAGTTACCACGAAATCCCTTTTCATGTTGGAACAAACCAGATAGTGTTGTAGGTAGAGCGTATTTCAAATGATATTATGACTAATAGTCATAGACAAAAATAAGAGACCCAAACTGAAGTTGACAAATACTGAAATGTCCCTTTCCAAAGAAGGACCGGAGGTTTTAGTGATGTGTTCCCATGATGTCACAGCTGTTGGATCGGATCCCTTTTTCAGGCCACGTGTTGCTTTAGCTCTTCATCTTAATGTTGCCCCTTGCTCTCTCATAATGGGTTACTGATCAGTTGTAAAACTGAATCAAGAATACATAACTTCACTGCAAAAACATAACTTCACTGCAAAAACATAACTTCACTGCAAAAAGATGTCGCAGGCCTGGAGATTTTGTACCCCTTTTGTGTCTTTTTGTTGTTGTTTGTGTTGTTAACTCAGGCCGCCACATTCTGTTTTGGCCGGCTCATGCGTTTGTTATCAATAAACGATGACATCCCCATGTATGTGGATTGACTGGAGGCACTTGTGATCTCATCATTTTCTTTCCCATCATAGCTTGAGCTAATATTTCCCATGAGTTTTCTGAAGCAGGCTACTGACGAGAACGATCCGCTCTGTGGAAAGAGAACATTTGAATTGTGTTCTGACAGTTAAGTCACATGATCATGGTTGAGATCAGATATAAAGATCAACATGTGCATGCATTTTTTGACACAGCACTGAAACATCCATTTGTATAGCAAAGAAGGGATGGGGTAACACATCTGAACCTTGACACTTAAAGCTGAAGTATGAAGGGAGCATCAGTCATACCATTCCTCCTAATCCTCTCCTCTCTTTACATATCTCTCTGTTTTCCCTCTCCAGTGCCTGAGGATGTCGAAGCGGAGCCTGTTTGTTCGTCTGGTGCCATGCCGCTGCTTGCGGGGTGAGGAGGAGGCGGTAACATCGCTTGACTACTCCCACTGCAGCCTGGAGACTGTTCCTAAGGAGATCTTTAGCTTTGAGAAGACCCTGCAGGAACTCTACCTCGATGCCAACCAGATCGAGGAGCTGCCTAAAGTAAGCACTCACTGATGTATAGAAACTTGATATTTCTCCATGTAGGCCATCTTCAACATCTGCATAACTCACGAGGCCACTCGTAAAATGATTCGCTGCATGCATAAAGAGTTTATCTCTTATGAGGAGCTTGCTTTGTTCACACTCTACGTCATTCATATTCATTTAGACAGAAGAGCCTTTGAAAGGCGCATTTGAACTTTTATGAAAAATAAACATCTGTATGTTTGGTGAACCATCGGCCTTTTGATGAAAACTTTGATCTCTTCTCTTTCTCCACCAGCAACTGTTTAACTGCCAGACACTGCACCGACTGAGCATGCCGGATAATGACCTGACAGTGTTGCCAGCAGCGATCGCAAACCTCATCAATCTCCGGGAGCTTGATGTCAGCAAAAACAGTAAGTCAAATGAACACGTATGACTTTTTGTTTTAAGATTCCAAGTTTATGACTGGCAGGTTAAATAAGCCATGTAGCGGTAGATCCTGTGGCTGGAAAGTGACCACACTGATTCAGTGACCTGTGAAGTTCAAATGTGGAACTTTCCCAGCTGTAGTGTTAAGGTAACTGCAACCTAAATCATTCATGAAAGAAAAAAAGAGGAGGTCATTACCAGGAATGAGTTACATCATTGATCAAATGTTTGAGGTAAAATGCCACAGCATGCTTCATCTACCAGATGTTACGTCACAAGAGTGCGTGACTGAAACCCCCTAACGTGATTGCTAAAGCAAGCAAGCCCAGACCTGCTGTATACTTTTCACTTTCTGTACAGTAGGGAGTAGTAGCATGAAAAAAAGCAAAGCTAGATAAAGCTCCTTAGAGAATAGCACCTTGTGCAGATCATTCTCAGTTTATGTGTGAACCAGCTCTAAGTGTGTTGTCAGTGGTTTCATAGTGTGGGAAGTGACAGAGTGCAACTTCACCTCTTTAAAGATTTGCACCAAGGAGAGCTTTGTACTAGAAGTACTTTCTATTTTGTTTGTTTGATGAAATCTTTCCGCTGTCAATGTTGTTCAAGTCTGAAATGTAGAAAAAGAAACAGCTGCAGACCAAAGTGTTTGAAGGCTTGACAGTTCTCTGTTCTAAAGCCCAGCTGCACGTAGAATCAATCAGGTGACTGTGCTATTTTAAAATGTCACTGTTTTTCTTTTGTACATCCTGTTGCAAATTTCACACAGGTTTTGCTTCAAACATATTGTCAGTAAAGCAAGATTAACACAACTGTCTGTCATTATCTTTGTGATTCTCAAAACATTGATTTCTGTAAGCTAAAAGAAAGATCTAACACTCCAGGTAACTGCATAAAAAGGTTGATCGTCACTATATAACCTTGAAGCTCAGCAGAGCAGCAAACTAGTGAGCATGCTCAGCAGAAACCCTTTCATGAAAAGAGAAAGGTTAAAAAGGTAGTTCTTACATAAATAAATGAGTGCAGAGACGACCACTATTAAACAAATGTTGAAGGATGTGGTGGTGTTTTCATGATCCAGAGCTGCATGTGCCATGTTGACATTAAAAGTAGCTTATCCTTCTTCACAAAGCACTCTGTAAGTGTTGAGGACACAAAGCAAAGTGGATGGAAATAATCCCTTGGTCCCGTTCACGTCCCTTTTCGCTCAGTTCTCACATTGTCGATGCTTCATGAGAAATTGCAGACTAATTCAGTGATTTATTTTTTTTTCCTTTTCTGATTTTTCATATTGTCACCTTGAGCGCTCGTGGTTGTTTAGAGAGGAAAGGTGCAGAGCCACTCTTAATGTATCATCAAGCTCACATTCCAGACAGAAAGCCTTCCTGCTTGGACTCACAATGCATCTGTGTTTAACATTCCCAAAGCTTTTCTTACTTAACATGTGTGGCGATATCCCTCATCCTTTCCGTTTGGACAGGAGTAATATGTTTTGTGTCAGTGATAATTAAATGGTTTAGATACAACATGCAGATGTTTAATTAAGGATTGTGTACCTTTTAAACCTTTACCATTTCTCCCTAGGTATCCAGGAGTTTCCAGAAAACATCAAAAATTGTAAAGTCCTAACTATTGTAGAAGCCAGTGTGAACCCTATATCCAAGTGAGTACTGCCAAATGTTGCAGTCTTTGAAGCTGAATTCACATTTGAGTTGTTTGTTAGTCTACGTTTGGTATCCTGGCATTGCAGCAGCTTTGTGTGAGGGATGTGATTCCTTTTCCTGTTTGCGTTGTCAGGCTCCCAGACGGGTTCACCCAGCTCCTGAGTCTGACGCAGCTCTACCTGAATGATGCCTTCCTGGAGTTCTTACCCGCCAGCTTTGGCAGGTCAGTATGGTCCCCAGATTAGATCAGAAGAAAAACTCTGGTTGATGACTGTGGTATTAAGTTTATATCTTGTGCAGTGACAATAATCAAAAATAATTAGACGATGTGAAAGGGGACGCTAATATTACTGAACCTACAAAGAATAGTTGAGCTCTCCGTTGTGTATTTCCTAGCGTTTTCACCAAACTGCAGACACTGATGGAAACTAGCTGGCTAGCATAATGGAGCATTGAGCGGCTAAAGGGCAGTATCCCTCAGGAGTAGAGCCCAAAGATTGGAGCTATAAGTCAATATTGAAATGGTTCATCAAATGATTACCAAACAAGAAATCAGTGATAATGTTGCTAAGTTATTACTGGATGTTTAAATAACCAACCATTTGGGTTTCACAGGATTTTTGGCTTTCAAATAATAACACCTTTTGATTTAACAAAATAAAACACATATTACTGGTTTGTACACGTCATGTACATTTTTTACGTAAAGTGTGTTTCATTAAACCAGCAGGATCAGTATTGCTCTTACTGTTTGTTCTGTGTGCACTTATAGACTTGTGTCTTTTACAAGCTAAGAGGGCAATAGCTATAGAATGGGAAAAATGTGAACAAACCTAGTTTGAATAGATATATGAAGGATCTGTCAGCATGTGTCGCTTTAGAAAAAGTAACATACATTACCAAAGGAAAGCTGACAGTTTTCTAGCTTCATGGAGTTTCTGAAAAATAATGTTTGTAATGATTAATAATACCAAATACCGGGGCGGGGAAGGGGGCAACGGGAATACGATTCTAAAGTCTAGTCGCCCACGTCATATTCTTTCAGATTTCTGTCCTGTATCATCTGTATACTGACCTGTGTTTATTTACAAGCCTATTCATTAGATTTGATACTGTATCTGCCACCTAGACTGACCATGTATGTATGTGTAATGTTCGTTATTGTATCTATGTGTAACGTCCGTATTTGAAAGCTTCAATACAAATATTGTAAAAAGAAGAAGAGGAGGAGTAAATTGTGGCTTCTGTCGCTTATGGAGAATCTTTTTGAACTAAGTATGACTGAGTTGGAACTTACTAACGCAGTAACCAAAGACAAAAGTATATTTGCAAACTTAAAAAAGGTACAATTCCATGTGAAACAGGTATGAAAATGAGAAGTTAGACATTGTCTTTTAAATATGAAGTGTTGTTGTAGAAATGAACGTGACATGTTTGTTCTTCACTTGGTTGCAGGTTGACTAAACTACAGATCCTGGAGCTGAGAGAGAACCAGTTAAAGATGTTGCCAAAGTAAGTCGTTTTGCACTTCACATTTTCCTAACACCAAATATACACTGTTCATTTTATTTAAGAAATAATGGAGACTCTCGAAGAGTCAAGTACGTTTCGTTAAGCGTGGCAAGAATTCTTCTTCTTCTTCTTCTTCTTCTTCTTCTTCTTCTTCTTCTTCTTCTTCTTCTTCCTCCTCCTCCTCCTCCCCTGGGAATGTCTCTGCAGTGTCCTCCATCCTTCCTCTCCTTTTTTTTTTACAGTAGATTCCCTCCCCATACTTCTAAGTGAAGCATTACATTCCACAGTGTTGCATAACCGCCCCTTTGGTGGGCTGCTTGCTGGGGCAGGTTTTATAAGACAGTTGTGAGGGTTATTTCACCGTTTGAGAAGGTTACAGTGCCGCTGCGAGAGTAAATGTTCCACGAATATCCAAAGCTCCAGGTGATTGGAGGGGAAGTTACTTTCTTTTTCTGTCTCCTCTCACGCTTCACTTGGCGTATCATTCCGTTTCAAGTCCGTCTCAGCAGAACTGTATTTTCCCATTTGCCTTTTTTTTTTCCTTTCCACCCCCTGGCTTGGTTTCCTTTGTTATCTCACTGACTTTCCCCTTCTTATTTTTCACTGACTGACGGGCCAGCCAGTGTGTAGAGTGCTGCAGCTCAGAGCGGATCCTCTCTCCTCGCTGTGTTTATGTGACAGAGGCCAGACCTGTTAAAGGCTGGAGCCCTGACAAAGAAAAGGACTAATGGTCGGGAAGGTTGCCAGAGCAACACACAAGCATTTCAGAGATGTGAACAATGTGTGCGTGCACAAAAGGGGGGCAGGAGAAGGCTTTGCAGGGCTTCCACATAGAAAGTGCAGCCTCTTTTCTCTCACACACACCAAGCTCAGGCGTAAGCCATACGCTGCTCTGTATTTTAAAGACTGATGCTGTGTCACTCACAACTTGGGGTCATCAGCCAAAGTGTGTTTTTTTTTATTGCTAGTGAACTCACTCTTTAGATGAGCCAGCACAGCTCATTCTTACTCCTTTCAGAACACATGGAGAGCTCTGGTGTTCTCGCCAACGTTGAAGTAAGAAATTGGAAAAGCTGGCTAATGCTCAAGAACATCAACATGATTCATGTTTTCATATTGTAGTTAAAGAAAAATCACCAAACAGCTTAAATCACATTTATAATTTGTGCCGTATGTTTTACATTCTCATTTGATGAGAAAGGCCTAACAGCAGAGTCCACAGTAGAGCTGGTGGGCCTCTGCTTTCCATTCCTCTGCTCAATCTCACTTGTGTTTAACACAGTTAATCCCTGCTGTGAAGGGATCATCATATCTGTTCCCAAACACAACTTGGTACATCTCCATTTCATGGTCTTTCGCTTTAGTTAGTAGGGAGGATTATTTTGTTGAACTTCAGATTTTCCATAAGTCTTTGTTGCTCTTGCCTACATTTGATTTGTGTTACACTATCATTTATCATGCCAGAATTACAGTACTACACAATTTAAACTCTTGACTCAAGTTTTACGACTAGCTCAGAGAAAGTGAAACAACTCTTGCAAATCTTGAACTCGTACTTGTTTTGAAAGAATTTGACCTTTGCTATGTACTGTTGTGACGTCTATTTAAAGTATTTGATGTATGCTCTGCGGTAGTTACTATTTGCAGTTGCTATTGGGGGTTAAAAGCCCTGAAAGCCATCTTGCCAGTAGATTTGAGAAATGGGAAAATTATTCTTATTTACTATTTATGCTTGGAATTAGAAAAAAACAGCATTTAACCCCCAAGTTTTCTGTCACTGGTAATCAGCTAAATAAAGCAAAGACTGTAAGTAGTCCTGGTTTGTATCTGTTGTTGACAGTGTAGCAGAGAATGTGGCCTGAATGTGGAGAGAAAACTCTGGAGCGAGGCTTAGGGCTAGCATACGTAACATTTTCCATTATTTAAAGCATATTTTGTGTTGAGCCCGAGCTGTAAAATGTATTTATTCTCTCGTAAAATTATTCAGTGAAAGGAGCATGAGCAAAGCATGTATGCTATCCAAATCATAGCATGAACTATGAAAGATGAATCCTTTCCTTTTGGCTTCCTTTTTGAAGCGCAAGACCCCATTGCTCATAATCCTGACTGATTTTCCCATTGATTTTAAGATCTTTCTCCCTGTCTGTCCTTGTGTGTACAGGAGCATGCAGAAGCTCACGCAGCTGGAGCGGTTGGACCTGGGGAGTAATGAGTTCACTGAAGTGGTGAGTATCTGTCAGTCTGCCTGTCCATGCCTATGGCTTTCTACCGTACTGCTGCTGACATCTCCTCCTTACATAATCCATTCCCTTTCCTTCTCCTTCATTTAATAAAGTGTTTTCCCTCTCCTGTAGTGTGTTGTATAGGTTGTTGTGCACCAAATGGTCTGCAAAGGCTCAAATGTCCCACACAGGCCATCATTCTTTCTTTGTATTCAATCAGTACATAATAGTCTCTGTGGAATGAATAACTTGCCTCAGGGTTCGTTTTTTTTGTCTCCAACACTTAACCTCCCTTTTTCTCTTTAAATGTGCAGCCTGAGGTGTTGGAGCAGCTGACTGGAATCAAGGAGCTGTGGATAGACGGGAACAGACTGACATTTTTACCTGGGGTATAATTTACAGTCAATCCTATGCATACTTTCAGAGGCTGCTGTGCCCCGAGACGTCACCTTGAGATTATTCCTCTTTTTTTTTCTTCAATCTATGTGTCTGCCTAAATCTTCATCAAAATGAACCCCAGTCAGTTTGCATCAGACTTTGAGCCCTCTGAAAAGCAGCAGAGAAGGAGCCGCAGTTTAAAAAGATTCTCTTGCTGGGTGAACACTATCAGAAAATCTTACAGAAGACAATGAAGTATTTTGGATTTGCAGATGTCCCAATAATAACAACAAACATCTGCAGCTGTGAAGTCCTTATTTTCCCTGGAGCATAATTCATTTACAATTATGTTTTTTTATAGTCAAATTGTGTTACATGAGATTCATTTTTCATCCAAATGACCAGCTTGTTGGTAACTGGGTCATAATTAGAGCATTATTTATTCTGCCAGCATTTCAACAACATCATCTGTAATCACAGTCTGGCCTTTTATAAGCAGTGACGTCTTTAGGGAATATAAACCAAAATTAAATACAGAAAATAGTTTGCCCAATTCTTGAATAATGTCATATTAGTGACAATTATTTGCATTAATAGTCTGTCTCCTTTCTTTATCCAGATGCTAGGGATGCTCAAACAGCTGGTATACCTGGATGTCTCAAAGAACAACTTGGAGATGGTAGACGAGCAGATCTGCGGCTGTGAGAGTCTGCAGGACCTTCTGCTCTCAAACAATGCCCTCACACAGCTGCCAGGCTCCATCGGTACAGATTACAGCACACACACACCCACTCATTTGAAGGAAACCCATTATGAAACACCTCAACTCTTGTAGCTGTTGCCAATATATTTTTCATTCTTGGACCCCTTCCTGTATTTAGTTACCATAAATGATGTTGCAATGTTTTTACGACCTACTTTTAAAAGTCATGCATTCGGACTTTATCACAGAGGAGGATGCAGTTACTGTTTCCCCAGTTACAACATAGTCACACAAAATGAGAAGTTTTAAAAAAAGAAACAAAATGATGCCAAAAGTATGTTTTTAAAAAAAAGTACCGTCATTTTCGGACTATAAGCCGCGCCTTTTTTTCAATTTTTCGACGCTGCGGCTTATATAACGGTGCGGCTAATCTATGGATTTTTACAGCAACGGCCACTAGGGGACCTCCGTAAATCTATGGATTTTACAGGTTGAACAGTCCACCACCTTAACTCTATGGGCTCTATGGCCGGCCCCTCCGCGACCCCCACCTTTAAAGCGGCGGGCCTCCAGCAACGGAAAAGCTGGCCAGGCCGGGAAAAGAGTGAGACAGGTAGGGCGCTAAAGTAGAAGGTGGAATCCGCGAGGAGTCGGTACGAGAGACAAGAACGAGAAGACAAGACAGACAGACATTACGCAGAGCGAGACAGTTTGTCCCCCGTACCGCACTGGTTGAAAACCACTGGCTGTAGATTCACTGTCGGTACGTGCGCTGGGGAAAGCGCACCGTTTAAGTTTTGTGGAAAGTTGAAAGTTATTGTGTGCACCCTATAACTCGAAACAGTGGCTCGGTACTATGGAGTCTTTTTTATTGCATCAGTTTTTAGTTAATCCTTATAGCACTGGATGGACCTCGCCGAAATGAATAGATATCCAACTTTTCAGTGTTGAAAGCGAAGCAAAGCGGATATTGTGAAATGACTGAAATGACCTGCTTACTGTTCACCTCTTGGGGAAAAAGGGTGNATATCTATTATTCTGAAATGGACCAATCTGCACAATGACTACTTTTACTGTCGCTACTTTCACTATATTTTGATGAGAATACTTTTGTACTTTTAGTTGAGTAACATTTTGATTGCAGGACTTTTACTGTAACAGAGTATTCCTACACTCTGATAATTCTACTTTTACCTAAGTCAAATCGGAGTACTTCTCCCACCTCTGTAAGGATTGCAATGTGTCGAATAAGGTAACGTTTTACAAACATGATTCATTTAAAAAAAAACAAACGTCCAGATGTTATTGGAAGTGTGTGTAGCAGTCTTCCTGCCTGTTTCTTTAATACAGAGGTTGTGTTTAGTCAGTCTTACACACTGATGAACCCGTTTCAAACTCTCAGCATGCTGATGGCATTGTAAAGTGGATCTCCTGAGGCAGGAAATGTATTTCTCTACACACTGGGGAAATGAATTTGTGACCACATGTCCCTCTGGAGGAGCTCCTTTCGACGCTCCTCCTTCGCGTCGAAAGGAGCCAGTTGAGGTGGTTCGGGCACCTAGTTAGGATGCCACCTGGGCGCCTCCCTAAGTTCCAGGCACGTCCAGCTGGAAAGAGACCAAGGGGTAGACCTAGGACCAGGTGGAGGGATTATATCTCTTCGCTGGCCTGGGAGCGCCTTGGGATCCCCCAGTCAGAGCTGGTTGATGTGGCCAGGGAAAAGAAAGTTTCTGCTACCTCCACGACCCTACCACGGATAAGCGGGAGAAGATGGATGGATGGATTTATGGATGGATGGATGGATGTCCCTCTGGCGCCACCCTGTGGTCAAGTCTGACCACAGGGTGGCGCCAGAGGGACATCCATCCATCCATCCATAAATCCATCCATCCATCTTCTCCCGCTTATCCGTGGTAGGGTCGTGGAGGTAGCAGNGCCTCCGATGGACTTTACTTCTTCTTGTTTACTTCTGCGATACAGGGACATCACTACCCAACACTCTATTGGCTATCTCTCAAACACATTGTACCTGATTGGCTAAGGGACGGGACATCTCTAAGCGGATGACCAATCACAACAGAGCCGGCCAGCTAACCAATCAGAGCAGACTGGCCTCTGGTTTCAGACAGAGGGTGAAAAGAGGTGCTGCAGCACAGGCAGTATGAGAAAAATAAAGAGCTTTTTGAACATTAAAGCATGGAGACATGTCCAAGTAGAGACACTACATACTGATATACACCTGAACATCAGCAGGAGAGGACTCTTTAAAGTAGAGACACTACATACTGATATACACCTGAACATCAGCAGGAGAGGACTCTTTAAAGTAGAGACACTAAATACTGATATACACCTGAACATCAGCAGGAGAGGACTCTTTAAAGTAGAGACACTACATACTGATATACACCTGAACATCAGCAGGAGAGGACTCTTTAAAGTAGAAGGTTTGTAGAATGATACAAACCTGCTTTTTGGCAGGAAGGGCATCTTTGCCTCTCTCTCGGGGGTGCACAGAGAGTTGTCCTGACTGCTGTCTGTGGTCAGGGACACTGAGTCCGACATGCGTGATGGAGATGAACAGTTGCTGTTGTTCTGGTTGCTGTTGGCAACTGTATCATCCAGCAAAGAGTCTGCGTCATCTGTTAATCAGAAATATTGCCGTTTGTATACTGTAAATGTAGTAACTGTCACTTTAAAAATACATATTTCAAATAAAAAACACTTTTACCTTTTTTCTCCTTACTTAGAGTCACCACTTTAGGCTGGTTGATGGAGATCTCAATTAGAGGGGGTCTCATCTGAGCCACTTTCATCTCTGCCTCTTCATCAGAAAGCTCCTCAGAATCCTGAGTATAAAACCAATCATTTAAAAGTGTATAATGTGTAAGGTTTGGTACCAAAATCCGATTCCAAAATTTAGATTCCATCGGTATCGTTTAGAAATGTTAATTTCGGTTCTGCTTATTGATATGTAGGAAAATATAGGAAATGTATCTCGCTGCTTTCTGTACTGTTAGACGGGGGTGAGCGGGAAATGTAGCGAGCACCAGAGTTGGGAAGCAAAACTCGGTTCCGAGTAAGAACAAATGACAATTGTCTGGTACCGGGATAATAAGAGTTATGAGGACAGGAGGCCGAGCCCTTTTTCTCTTTCTACACACAGCTTCATCTTTATCAACCTATCTAATGGTCCTTCTCTCATACGTAATGAATGTTATTAAGCATTTTAGCTTCTATGTTGTCATATTGACCGCCATTTCCTCTATGACGTAAAGCAGCCTCCGTCTGTCTGTGTCCTCACATCCACGAACTGTGAGGCAGACTCGGAGGAGCAGAGGGAGTCAGAATCAGATCAGAATATTTGTATTCGTCCCACATTGTTTATGAATTATTGTATAGAAAGTACATTTTTTTTAATGAAAATAGGATTTATGACTTTCCAAACAGTGAAGCGGTTGGGCAGCTGTAACATTTGTATTGCAGTACATGTTGGACACAGACTGTGGTTGGACTGTGTCACACAGGCAGGTTGCAGTGTAACAGCAGAGGAGACTGGGGGAATTGTACATTTTCCAATTGTACCACTTAGAACTAACTTGTGAATGCAAAAAAAATACAGAGATGATTTTAATATAATTGTATTCAATAACAGCAACTAAAGTATGAAGTCATTTGTAAATATGAATAAAGATATGACTAAATGTTTTCATAAATCTATCTTTCAAAATATATAAAAAAAAGCAGAACCTGAATCAAAAAAATCCCAACGATACCCAACCCTAATAATGTGCTTGTTGAATTTGAAATTGGGAGGATGAAAGAGTTCAAAGTACCTCCAGTGTGTCCTCATGGTTCATCATAGAGCCCCCTGCAGTTTTGAGAGGGACTCTGTGAGAGCTGTAAGAGTCTGAAGTGTCTTTCCATTCTGTGGAAGAGGAGTTTTGACCATATGTGATGGAGGGTTCAATGTCTGATACTGTGCCATTGGGATAGGGAGCTTCAATCACCTAAAAAGAAAACAAATGTATTACAAATATTCCTTCACCTGTGTATAGAATGATCATTTCTTAAAGGGGAACTAAGATTTATTTCCAAGTAAAATCACATTTGGCTGAAGCTGACCTTAACCCCCACGTCCTGCACTCCAATGTGGTTCCTCTCCACTGGTTTTGCATCCCTCCCCGACTCGTCACCTGACTCGTCCTCCTTCAGCCGGTGAGCCACAGACTGGGCTGTCTTCACCATGTTCTTCAGCTCCTCTGGGTACGGAGTGGGATAGCGCTTCAGATTACCCTCCTGGGGGAATGACATGTAGAAAGAGATGCATTCAATATCATATGGACACATGTCTCACTGATACAAAGACATTCATGTTGATTAATATCTTGGAATAACAGATTTGACATGAAAACAGCAAAATGATACTTGTGATGACAACAATGTCCTTATTGCTTCTTTTTTCAAAAAGTGTTTGAGACACCTACCCGTGGGGGTGTTTCTCTCTCATCCTTGTCTTCGTCACACTCGAAGGCCACTTGAGCTCGGTGCTTGCGTTGTTCCTCCCAGAGAGCTGGATTGAAGCTTTCAGAGTCAGAGCTGGGAATGTCTACAAATCAAAGAAGAAACAAGGAAGAGGAGGATAAGGTGTTAGTTTTGAATGTAATGTTTTGTATCATCATTTATACATGTTTGACTTTGACCACACGGTGGCACAAAGACTGCATGAGGCAAAACATTCAAGAGCTGTGGAGAGACTTCAAAGTCAGGAGTTAACCCTTTCAACTCAAACCATTCAATCATGAAGTATTGATACATGGAATTGTTGTTTTATTAAACGGACAAAAAAGCAAAAAGATCAAAAGCACAACATTAAACATTATTGCCAAAATGAAATAATGAAAAATGTGTCACTCTTAAAGCAGACAAATGATTGTTCAACATTACTCTGCAAAAAATATGACAACAATTGAATGAAAAATGTTACTAGAATGATAGATCACTTCTTCACTGTCACGTTTGTATGACTCCTGTGTGAAGGGAGAACACAGCACAGGATGTATAATTCAAAAATATATGTGATTGTGGTTATGATGATCCGTGAACTCTGCAGCAGAATCAATGTTGGTGATCTGCCCTCTCACGTGTCTAAGTCTTATCGCAAATTAAATAACACATTTGTAACCTGACCAGAATCTCATCAATTTTTGAAAGAATTGATATCATACTATATGATTAAAACTGTCATTCAAGCTTTCAGGTGGAATAGATGGCACTATAAAAGTCCAAATCAAGAACTCTTGTTTCTGAAATTGTTGAGACTACACCAGAGTGTGAATGCACAGTGGATAATGTGAGTCACCTGGTGTGTGGCCTTCATATTGACAAGTTTTAAAACAATTATCGCAGTCAGGTCAAGACTTTTTCCAGCCTTTCAGGAAACATGAGGAAACAGATGAAAGCTCTTTTGGAACATTCCCAGTTGATTAGCATGGAAAATGGCATGAAGCAGATGGCTCTGAGATATCAAACAGAGAACAGGACCTGCATGCAGTTACTTCAGCGGGGTGTTTTCTGCTGGTGCACCACATCACTGACATTGTTTCAAAAATCCAGCAGCTGACTCACTGCCATTTTGTAGTTCAAGCGTGTAGATCTTAAACCACTAATTACTCCAATGTTAAGACCAGCGGGGTCAGCGCAGGCTGTCCCGTGTCATCGGAAACCAAACCAAACTAACAGATGCTGTTTCTGCATTGACTGCAACTTTAGTCTCGAGTAACAAGGTCCCTCATGAAAAATGAAAACAAGAATCCTTGCCGGCCACTTATAAGATTGCTACGAGACAATTAGACTTACAAAACTACTTATTTTCCTGACTTTTCATTCTGGGTTAGGTATAGACTATCAATTCCCACAAATGATCCTGAGAAAGTGCTCTTATTAGTCATACAAGAACAGCTCATTTGTGGAATTGCCTCGTGGTACTGAATACGTCTTAAATATCGAGCTAAAAAGTGAAAAAAGGTCAGAAATATTTGCAGATTCAAATTAGTCTTTTATGTTTTTTTATGATTATTCTCTTTGAATGCACAGGACTCACATTCCTCCGTCCTGGTTTGTTGGGGGAACATGTAGTTGGTCAGCACAGTTTTGTGTGTCTCTGGATCCTCCTCTTTCTGGAGCGGGATCAGGGGCTTCGACTGTGGGAGACAAAAAGTAGGTTTGAGTGTGCTATCTGCTAGTCCTGCGAGTCCTAGTGTCTCTGCGCCTCCCTTTGGCATTGGAAATGAACTTGGCTGTAACATTGGTACGTGATTAAATTCAAACTAGAGAACGCATGGGGGGGAAACACATTATAAGATGCACCAATTAGGAAATTGATAGTGTTCAACTACTTTCCCACAGGTCTTTGCAGCAGAGTTTCTCCCTTTAATCTTCTCCAAACCACCCACTGTCCTTGCTTTGATTGAAATAATACTTAAACACCTCTTCAGTGACTCTTCCTGTCAACCATCCCTTGATAAAGCTGGCTTAAGCTCCATCAATGTCCCCTTGACCCAATCACCATCACTGCACCTGCCCAAGAGAATCCCTGTATCTCCAAACTGCTGTGCCGGCTGAAAAATCTCTCCTTGATGTGATTTCTGCAAAACTGCACTCTTCAATAAGTAAGTCAATCTCATTTATAAACATGCAGTACCTTTATCGTGTCAGTGTTCTACAAGTCAATTAAGGACAATTACACTTTTGATTTACAAACAAAACATGAAGAAACAACATTAAATGCATGTTTTCTCAAACAGATATGAATGAAAAACAGTCTACATCGACACATCTCATGTGTACAGGAATGCTGTTTTTTTAAATCCTCACGGAAAAAGCTGAATCCCCATTGGTCCACAGAGCTTTGGTCATATGAACTTGGAGTCCTGTCTATCTCTATGTGTGATCAATAAATCAGTCAGGTTGGTAAATCAGGTGTTAATGGATCATTACAGATACATATCAGGATTGGCATGTATTTCATTATACAGCGAATTGAGGTACAGATATACTCAAGACTAGTTTATTACGCAATTTATTTATGAATAAACCACTGCCTTTAAAGTTCTCTATTGGCTGGTTTCTTGTTAAGAAATGTACAAGGGTCATGGTGTGATTGATTGTAGAGAGATGTGTAAATGATAAGAAAGTTCTCACAATGTTTTCTGCTTTTAAAAGGCCAAGGACAACTTTAAGATGCATTCTTTTATTGACAATGTGTTGAGTCAATTAAACAGACACTTAAATTGTCTGGTAGCGATGAAACAAAGGCTGAATTATTTATTAATTGATTTCAGAATGCGGTGAGTCAAAAGACTATCATTTAGAAGTATGTCAAAGCTGGAGCAAGCAAACACAATGAATCAATATACTCCCGCAGCATCTTCTGCTACAGTACTTTTTGCCTTTGCATACAACGCCTCCGTTAAGCTGGAAACGAGCCGTTCAAGAATTCCTTTCCCACACAAAGCTACACTGCTATGACAAAACGAGACAAAGTCCCTTCCTGACACACAATCTGAGCAGTAGGGATGGGTACCGAGCCCCGGTATTAAACGGGCTGAATTATTAAGGACAGCGGTACCGTTAAGCTCCGACGTTATCGGTCTTTTTATCGGTACTGGCGACATGTAAAAAATATGTGTTAAAACATGGGTTAATGATTAGAGGTAACCGAGTTATTTATTTTGTTAAAGTTTCAGCTATTCTGTTTACAGTTCTGTCATCAGATTATTTAGTAACTCAGTAACGACACTGTTTGACACGCATGCCTAGATGACCATACTGTTGTCTTTCAACAGGTAATCATGTAAGCGTAAGATCTTCTGACATTCATTAGGATACACCAGCACTTTAAAAATGTAGTATTTACGGTTTCTCTGTCTAACCTGCACTGCCATTTGGCCCGATCAAATGTCCTGGAAGTGGTGTACTGAATTTGCAATGTGTTTTCCTTGGCCTCATTAGATTCATTTACAGCTGAATAAGGTGGCGAGTAACCTACCACTACAGTATCAGCTTTATACTTGTGATTCATATTTAATTTATATAATTAATGCTGTCAAAATTATCGCGTTAACGGTGGTAATTAAATTTTTGAATTAATTGCGTTAAAATATTTTACGCATTTAACGCATGTGCAGAATGGCCCGCCCCATACATCCCACCAGTGGCAGCGCCAGGGTATGGCTGGAGTAGGCTACACCCATACCAAGAAATGGCTTAGCCCCACCATGAAAAATGATGTTAAAGTAAGCAAAATAAAGTCCGCCAACTCGCGCAGAGAATTGCACAAACAGCAGTTAGTAAGATTGATTTCAGTAGCCACTTGTCTGGAAATACAGAAGACCAGAAACGGTTTTGAAAACTTTTGTCACGTAGTGATCGTCTTCTCAATAGAACATCTTTGATAATGTCTTCTGGCCAATCAGAATCAAGATAACGGCGTGGTGTTGTTGCAGGAAGTCCCGACGGAGAATACTTTTGCTGTAGTACAGGGGTGCATACATCGATACAACATTACGTGTTGATAGAAATCAACACGTAATGAATTAAGACCCCACGGTTTGATGATTGATAGGTGTGGGGGCTGTCTTTCATTTTGACACACAGAACAATGTTATAATAAACATACATGCATACTGTATGTTAAATGGATATATCCGCCTTCTTTCATTTATCTTTCCATTCCCACAACAGTATACATAAAGAAATGGCATATTTTGGACATAGTTCGAATGGTGATTAATCTGATTAATTCATTTTTAAGCTGTGATTAATCTGATTAAAAATTGTAATCATTTGACAGCCGTATATATAATATTACCTGGTTTTCAGACAGCCACATTGCGGTCATCTGGTTCAGTTTAGTGAAACTGTAGGGAAGATTCTTCAACCTGCAGAGGAACAGAAACCACACAGGTACTCAGTCGTCTTGCATCAACAACAATGCATGAGCAAAAGTGACAAATGACTGCCATATGAAGTGTGTAAGGTCATTTGAATGTGTGACGGCCCACTGTAAAGATAGGCTTAAGCCTATTTTTCGTGAAAAATGTAATGTCAGTGCTTTGGGATTGTGGCCAAAGTTATTCAGTGTATTTGGCACAGAGCAGACTCAAGGCATGGAAAACCCCTGATTAAAAATGTATTGAGGCCTTAGCTTCCTAACCATCCCAATTTCATTCTGGCCAGAATAAAGATTATTCCATCATGGTGTGGTAATTATCATTATCTGTTTCAGGAAGTGGGTGTGTAAGTGTGAGATCAACTACTTTGCATTCATAATGAAGCATTTATGCAAGGCTGCAGGAGTGGCTTCTTTTATAAGGACCTGCTCATAAATATTTCATCATAGATCCATCTGCAGATTTGTTCCTATATAATTGATTAGCCCATCAAATGTCCAAACATTGTCAACAATTAGTCTCAAATGCTTTGGTGACGTCTTAAAAATAAATTCAATTCCCATGAATAAGAAACAGAGAATTTAGTGGCCAACCGTCACATTAAAGATAATGATTTAAAATGTTGCTTCAAAATGCCTTTTGCTAAACCATGATCAAAATAAGCAGAAAAATATCATTTTGTCCTTGAACTTTGATAAGTGTGAAGACTGTCAGTCAGGACTCACTTGTTGTTACTGAGATTGATGACCTTGAGCTTCTGCATGTCACCCATTTCATCAGGCAAGGACTCCAGCTTGTTGGAATGTAGGAACAATACAGTTGCATTCTTCCAGCTGCCCATCTGCCAGGGGAACAAACCGAGGATTCAGAGACGTGAATGTTTTTACAGATGAGCAGACTGGCCTCTCACACCCTTTAACACATCTCTATTCTCCACCAACACACGTTCTTCTATACTGTAATGTGCATACTCACCTCGGGGGGGAGTAGGGTAAGGAAGTTGTGATCTGCAGCGAAGGTGCGGATGCTGGCACATTGACCGATGGTAGAGGGCAACGCTTCGATCTCATTGAAGCTGCAGTCCAGCTCATCCAGAGAGTGCAGTCTGATGCAAAGGAGGGTAGTGAGACGTTCATCAATTGATGTCATTATTATATACAGCACTTTATTATGTTAAATCTTGGTTAAAGAACATAGATGTTGTAGTGTTCCTATAAATAATTGGAAGACTTGAAAGAGGCTTAAGATAAATGATTAAAACTGAACCATTACAGGCAGATTGATCCTGACCTTAGGTCCTAGTATGTGCCAACAATCCTGGATCCCAGAATTCCCATAATGCAACTCAATTACATATTTTGAATAAACACTCCCTGCCTTTTAAACAAGGAAATCTTTTAAACTCCACATCCCCAGTGTGTATTCACCACACCCATGCTAAGCTAACATAATAAAGTTTCCTCGGAAAGCTCCCGATGGAGCCCCAGTAGACATTATAACCACTTTCACAGGCTCATTACGTTTTATGACAAGTAAACTGAAATTCATGAGCAAACATCGGCAGAATGTCCCTTTAATTCTAATGCATCAAACTGTCAGTATAGATGTCATTACTGGGATTGTATGAGATTGTAAAATATTTCTTGATTGCCCTTCAAATATACTTTATACAAGATGGATGTATCTAACAGTGAAATAGACGTTTACAACAACACTGATGCATCTTAAAAGCTTCATGGGACTGAACCCATGTTGACACAGAAGAGCTGGCAGCTGGGGCTTTCTGCTGAATGAAAAATGCAAATGCACTCTGGGGATTCAGATGAATGCAAAAAAAGAGTCCGACTCGCAGGAGAGCCACAGTGTTATAAAACAATCCAACTCCAAAACACGGCACTCGACCCCTCCCTGTGGAGTATAAAACAGGGACAGACCACACTGTGCACAAATAGCGGAATGAATAAAAAACAGCCATGTATAACTGAAACATTTATCAGCTTGCTTAAAATAAAATCCTTGCATGGGATTAAGCCAAACCATAGGCTTTGTCACATAATCCGTGTCAAATTACATGAGGAGAAATATTCTAACATATGGCATAATGGACAATGCTTGTTTGGAAACAATGGATGAAAAAAGGGACTGCAGGAGTAATTGTCAGTCAATGTAGATAGCCTAATCTTTGTGTTGGAACAAAAGGATTTGGATTATGTGGACCTCTGCATCTGCTGCCTGCTGGGTTTACCTGTCTGCTGCACACAACATCAGCTGAGAACCGCTATGGCTGCTTTAATCAGTAGTGTGTTAGAGGGTCAATTCATTACTCTGTTTCCATAAATCAATACGGCAGACTCAGAACTATGAGACTCAATTATTGTCAATCATACTTCATAATCATGTCCGGTATCAAGTCATTCAATATGGCCAGCATTAGACCAAAACAAATAAAGCAGCAGAACACATTATGTTTAATGGGAATATCTGATTTATCCAGACAGACATTTTGTGCAATCAGGGGATGGCAGATGAAAACAGCCCATAATCTTCTGATATTAAAGCTATTGCTGTAATGCTCACCCTCCGACTGAGTCAGGCAGATACATCAGCTGGTTCTCATCCACTTTCAGTGCAGTCAGTTTCTTCAGTGAGCCTATAGTAGGAGGAAATGAGACAGAGAATTAGAGAGACGTATGCAGAAGCTCATGTCACTTATTGATTATAGCTTGCTGTTGAAACCACATAGAGGAGGATCCATTACAGCGTGTAATTAGATTATTTCATACTGTCGTCAATACTATAATCCAGTGGTTCTCAACTGGTCAGGCCTCGGGACCCACTTTTGGGTCGCAACCCACCAGTTGAGAACCACTGCTATAATCAGTTAGTAGTAATGAACCCTGACTCTGTGCACCTGGACTTTGGATTTAATTAACTTGGTATTCAAATATGAATGATTACCTTTTTCCCCAAGAGGTGAAAGTAAGCAGGTCATTTCAAATATCCGCTTTGCTTCCTTTCAACACAAAAGTTGTATCTATTCTTTCGCAGTGTCCATTCATCTATAAGGGATAACTAAAAATGAGAATAAAAAAAGACTCCATAGTACCAGAGGCCACTGTTTGAGTTATATTTGCACACAAACTTTTCAACTTTCAAACTTAAACGGTGCGCTCCCAGCGCACGTACCGACAGTGATCTACAGCAGTGGTTTTCAACCAGTGGTACGGGGACAAACTGTCTCGCTCTCGTAATGTCTGTCTGTCTTGTTCTCGTTCTGTCTCTCGTACCACTCTCGGTTCCACTTTCACTTTAGCGCGCTACCCCAAAGACGGTCCTGGAAGACGAAGTTTGTTACGGAGTGTGTCCGACGGTCCGAAGAGCCAATGTCTAATGCCGTGTGTGTGTTGGTGAGTAAACTACCCCCTTTGGTAATACTTTGGTGAGTTGGAAACATCACACGGTTATAAAAAAAGTAAGAACCCTGGGGAAGACATAAATCATGGTATTTACTACCAAACGTACAAAATGGATGAAATTTCAGTACGTAAGCCTGAATAGTGTCTCCTCCTACGTCATGACAAAGGGGTCAATGTATTCAGGTGTTTACCCTTCAAAATTTTTTCTTTTTTTACTAACGTTTTCATACAAAAATTTTGTCAATGGCAAGTAAAAGCCGGATATTTCCGCGCGGAAAAAAGTTAAAAGCTGCGACCCGAATATATTGCCCACCGCCGATTAAGAATACCTAAAAATTCGATTGCCGTGATCCTGGAGGTTAATACCAAAATGGGTCCAAATGGTCAGGGTGGGGAAATGAGATCACCCGAGAAAGTACCGGCCAGGCGCCTGGGGGTGAAATTCGCCGCCCCGAGGCGTCTTTCGACCCTCCGGCCCTTTC